TGTTCTATTTTTAGCCATGTCGGCCATGTTGGTTGGCAGGCGGGGTAATCAGTCACATATTTTAAACCAGATACCATAAGGATGATTGTGGCCAACTTTGGTTAAATTTGTCTCAGTAGTTTCAGAGGAGAAGATTTTTGTAAAAGATTACAAAAATTTACGAAAAATTGTGAAAAATTGACTTTAAAGGGCAATAACTCCTTATGGGGTCAATTGACAATTTTGGTCATTTGACTTATTTGTAGATTTTTTTTTGCTGTCTACATTTTATCTCTATCTATTATTATATTCAAGATAACCAAAAACTGCAAAATTTCCTTAAAATTACCAATTCAGGGGCAGCAACCAAACAAAGGGTTGTCTGATGCGTTTGAAAATTTCAGGGCAGATAGATCTTGACCTGATGAACATTTTTACTTCGTCTCAGATTTGCTATAAATGCTTTAGTTTCAGAGATATAAGCCAAAAACTGCATTTTACCCACATATTATTTTTTTAGCCATGGCGGCCATCTTGGTTGATGGGCGGGGTCATCAGATACAATTTTTAAACTACATACCCTAAGGATGATTTAGGCCAAGTTTGGTTTAATTTGGCCCAGTAGTTTCAGAGGAGAAGATTTTTGTCGATTACAAAAATTTACGAAAAATTGTGAAAAATTGACTTTAAAGGGCAATAACTCCTTATGGGGTCAATTGACAATTTTGGTCATGTTGACTTATTTGTAGATCTTACTTTGCTGAAATATTTTGCTGTTTACATTTTATCTCTATTTATTATAATATTCAAGATAATGACCAAAAACTGCAAAATTTCTCTAAAATTCCCAATTCAGGGGCAGCAACCCAACAATGGGTTGTCTGATGTGTCTGAAAATTTCAGGGCAGATAGATCTTGACCTCATGAACATTTTTACCGCCTGTCAGATTTGCTGTAAATGCTTTAGTTTTAGAGATATAAGCCAAAAACTGCATTTTACCCCCATGTTCTATTTTTTGCCATGGCGGCCATCTTGGTTGATGGGCGCGATCATCGGATACCTTTTTAAAACTAAATACTGTTAGGATGATTTAGGCCAAGTTTGGTTTTATTTGGCCTAGTAGTTTCAGAGGAGAAGATTTTTTAAAAAAGTTAACAGACGAAGAGGACGACAGACGTCAAGTGATGAGAAAAGCTCACTTGGCCCTTTTGGTCCAGGTGAGCTAAAAAGTTAATTCCACTATTTTCATTTCAGGGCAGATAGATCTTGACCTGATGATCATTTTTACTTCTTCTCAGATTTGCTATAAATGCTTTAGTTTCAGAGATATAAGCCAAAAACTGCATTTTACCCACATATTCTTTTTTTAGCCATGGCGGCCATCTTGGTTGATGGGCGGGGTCATCAGATACATATTTTTAAATACATACCCTAAGGATGCTATAGGCCAAGTTTGGTTTAATTTGGCGCAGTAGTTTCAAAGAAGATTTTTGTAGAAGATTACAAAAATTTACGAAAAATTGACTTAAAAGGGCAATGACTCTTTAAGGGGTCAATTGACAATTTTGGTCATGTTGAATTATTTGTAGATCTTACTTTGCTGAACAATTTTGCTGTTTACAGATTATCTCTAATTATTATAATATTCAAGATAATAACCAATAAATTGCTTCGCCGAGCGCAGCTGGATACGACCGCAGAGGTCCAACCCTGAACAGTTGGGGCAAAAAAGGACACAATATTCGCGCTTGATACAGGTCTGAATTTGGATTGTAATTCAACATTTGACACATAATAGGTTTCTGACACAGAATAACTGTAGTCAAAGAACTTAGAATTGGTTATATGATTTGAATTTATATTCAATTTTTTGCTTTTGTGCAATACACTGTCCCTTTGTGAATTGACCCCCCCCCCCCCCCCCCCCAAAAAAAAAAAATAAATAAAAAGTAACCCATTATTTTTTTGCTTTTGTGCAATACACTATGCTGTTGCATATTGACCCCCCCCCCCCTACCTTTTTTTGTAAAAAAAAAATTTGTGAAGAAATTTTGTTTAATTTCTGAAATCTGAAATGAGAAAAAAATTGCCCCCCCCCCTTTTAAAAAAAAAAAAAATTCTTTCCCTCAAGATATGGTCATAATCTCAATTCAAATTACCAATGGAGTTTTCAACCATATTTACCCATTTAAATACATCATAAAAGTCTTAAATAGATAATTTAAAAGCAGTGTAAGGGACCTGATGAACATCTTTACCCATGTCAGATTTGCTCTAAATGCTTTAGTTTCAGAGATATAAGCCAAACTGCATTTTACCCCCTAAGTTCTATTTTTAGCCATGGCAGCCATCTTGGTTGATGGGCGGGGTCATCAGATACATTTTTAAAACTAAATACCCTAAGGATGATTTAGGCCAAGTTTGGTTTAATTTGGCCCAGTAGTTTCAGAGGAGAATTTTTTTGTCGATTACAAAAATTTACGAAAAATTGTGAAAAATTGACTTTAAAGGGCAATAACTCCTTATGGGGTCAATTGACAATTTTGGTCATGTTGACTTATTTGTAGATCTTACTTTGCTGAAATATTTTGCTGTTTACATTTTATCTCTATTTATTATAATATTCAAGATAATGACCAAAAACTGCAAAATTTCTCTAAAATTCCCAATTCAGGGGCAGCAACCCAACAATGGGTTGTCTGATGTGTCTGAAAATTTCAGGGCAGATAGATCTTGACCTCATGAACATTTTTACCACCTGTCAGATTTGCTGTAAATGCTTTAGTTTTAGAGATATAAGCCAAAAACTGCATTTTACCCCCATGTTCTATTTTTTGCCATGGCGGCCATCTTGGTTGATGGGCGCGGTCATTGGATACCTTTTTTAAACTAAATACTGTTAGGATGATTTAGGCCAAGTTTGGTTTTATTTGGCCTAGTAGTTTCAGAGGAGAAGATTTTTAAAAAAAGTTAACGGACAAAGAGGACGACAGACGCCAAGTGATGAGAAAAGCTCACTTGGCCCTTTTGGTCCAGGTGAGCTAAAAAGTTAATTCCACTATTTTCATATGTCTCATTACAAAAGATTAAGATAAGTTCTTTGATAGAAGTTAAGGAACTAGTTAAAAGCACTGAAATATTAGTTGTAGAACACATACTAGAGGCCAAGATGAATTGATTTTTTACAGGTTTTTCGTGTAGTATAGGTAACCAATACATAAGTTGATTTTAGAAATTAATAATCACGTTTTATTAGTGCCTTGCAATAACCAAAGACAAACCAACCAATGGTATCATTATGTCGCCTTTTTGAAGAAAAAGCATAAACAGGAAAGAAAAAATACTCAAGGAAAAAACAATCTGTATAAGTATCATTGAATAGATATAAGAGTGCCAATGAGACAACTCTCCATCCAAGTCACAAATTGTAAAAGTAAACCATTATAAGCACATTTACTTCTTTTAGCAAGCACTACTTCTCATTAGATATGCATACTGCATTCAGACATTTGTGCATTGTTTTTATTGCCAAAAATGAAACCCAAAGTTAAAATCTGATACCACTATTTGTATCCTGTAATCATCATAATTTATCTCACATTTTTGTCTATTGATCAACCATCTCAATAATAAATGCACCAAAAATTCTGAATTAACAGTTGATAAACATCTCAGGTTCCTTTCAATAAAATCAAAACAAAACATTTTTGTTATCCATCTTTATCACAAACAAAATATTTGTCCATTTGTATTATCACAATTACAATGTTTAACATTGAATTTCTACATACATATATAGAGAGTTTATAACTCATTATAGGAATTTAACAACAACTAAATAAATACTCTATTTATGTATATATTATTTTTTCTTCTTTAAACAATAAAATAATTTAGCATCAAAGAGGTAAGACCAATTCTCCCTGTATTCATTTCTTCAGCAAGGTCATTATCAAAAAGTCCTTGAATTTCTACTAAAATTCACTTGATATTTGTACTTTGATTGCGATTTCAGGAAAATCTGCATACTGATGTATGTATAAGATATTAGAATGCGAGTTCTAAATATTGCGATACTCACCTTATCGCATTATTTGCAATAATAATAAACTGTTATCACAGAGATATGTCTCGCCTTTTTGTAATTTTGATAGTGCAAATGTTGAAATTAAAATAGTAATACTTTAACATGTAAGTTATGCAAATATTCAGTCGATGAACCATGACTGAAGGTACTTGGCTAAACAATCTCCATGGAATGAGATGTACCAATGCTAATACAACTGCATACCAAATACCATTGACTTATCATAAGTCGTTCCCTTTAAACAAACCTAAACACAAACATTAACTTGTAAACTATGTAAAAGTTTCAAAGTCAATGAACCATGATCAGGGGTGGGGCTATATAATCTCCATGGAATCGATACTTGCAAATGCCAATAAATTTGCATACCAAATATCAGACTTAACATTAGCAGTTCATCTTAAACTGATCTAATCACAAACTAATACATGTAAACTAAGCAAAAGTTTCAAATAAATAGACCATGACTGAGGGGGCGGGGCCAAATATTCTCCATGGAAATGAGATGTGCTAATGCCACTGAACACCAATTAACATCTGCCTACCACTAATGGTTCCCCTTGAACTGACCTAATCACAAACTAATACATGTTAACTTAGCAAAATTTTCAAAGTCTATAGACCATGACTAAGGGGGCGGAGCCAAATAATCTCCATGGAAATGAGATATGCCAATGCTTATACAACTGCATACCAAATATCATTAACCTTACCAATAGTGGTTCCCCATAAATTGACCTAATCACAAACTAATACATGTAAACTATGAAAAGTTTCAAAGTCAATAGACCTTGACTGAGGGGGCGGGGCCAAATAATCTCCATGGTAATGAGATGTGCCAATATAAATACAACTGCATACCAAATATCATTGACCTACCACTAGTGGTTCACCATGAACTAGACCTAATCACAAACTAATACATTGTCGACGCCGCCGCCGGAAACAGCATACCTATGTCTCGCTTTTTGTTTCCGTCAAGGCGAGACAAAAACCTGGCAATAATTTCCGAATTTACAGTATGTAAAAATTTCCAAGTCAATGAACCATAATGAGGGGGTGGGACCATATAACCTTCATGGAAATGAGACTTGCAAATGCCAATTCAACTGCATACCAAATATCATTGACTTAATATTAGTCGTTCATCTTAAACTGATCTAATCACAAACATTAACATGTATATTCCCCATTTCCATTCTCAATTTTACATAATGCAAAACATTCTAAGTCAATGAACCATGACTGTAGGGGGGAGCCAAACAAGCTCCATGGAAATGAGATGTGCCAATGCTTATATACCTGCATACCAAATATCATTGATCTACCCCTAACAGTTCCCCTTAAACTGACCTAATCACAAACTAATACATGTAAACTAAGCAAGAGTTTCAAAGTAAATAGACCATGACTGAGGGGGCGGGCCAAATATTCTCCATGGAAATGAGATGTGCTAATGCTTATAAAACTGAACACCAATTAACATCTGCCTACCACTAATGGTTCCCCTTGAACTGACCTAATCACAAACTAATACATGTTAACTTAGCAAAATTTTCAAAGTCTATAGACCATGACTAAGGGGGGCGGAGCCAAATAATCTCCATGGAAATGAGATATGCCAATGCTTATACAACTGCATACCAAATATCATTAACCTACAACTAGTGGTTCCCCATAAATTGACCTCATCACAAACTAATACATGTAAACTATGAAAAGTTTCAAAGTCAATAGACCTTGACTGAGGGGGTGGGGCCAAATAATCTTCATGGTAATGAGATGTGCCAATGTTAATACAACTGCATACCAAATATCATTGACCTACCACTAGTGGTTCACCATGAACTAGACCAAATCACAAACTAATACATTGTTGACGCCGCCGCCCTGCCGCCGCCGGAAACAGCATACCTATGTCTCGCTTTTTGACTCCGTCAAGGCGAGACAAAAACCTGACAATAATTTCCGAATTTACAGTATGTAAAAATTTCCAAGTCAATGAACCATAATGAGGGGGTGGGACCATATAACCTTCATGGAAATGAGACTTGCAAATGCCAATTCAACTGCATACCAAATATCATTGACTTAATATTAGTCGTTCATCTTAAACTGATCTAATCACAAACATTAACATGTATATTCCCCATTTCCATTCTCAATTTTACATAATACAAAACATTCAAAGTCAATGAACCATGACTGTAGGGGGGAGCCAAACAAGCTCCATGGAAATGAGATGTGCCAATGCTTATATACCTGCATACCAAATATCATTGATCTACCCCTAACAGTTCCCCTTAAACTGACCTAATCACAAACTAATACATGTAAACTAAGCAAGAGTTTCAAAGTAAATAGACCATGACTGAGGGGGCGGGCCAAATATTCTCCATGGAAATGAGATGTGCTAATGCTTATAAAACTGAACACCAATTAACATCTGCCTACCACTAATGGTTCCCCTTGAACTGACCTAATCACAAACTAATACATGTTAACTTAGCAAAATTTTCAAAGTCTATAGACCATGACTAAGGGGGGCGGAGCCAAATAATCTCCATGGAAATGAGATATGCCAATGCTTATACAACTGCATACCAAATATCATTAACCTACAACTAGTGGTTCCCCATAAATTGACCTCATCACAAACTAATACATGTAAACTATGAAAAGTTTCAAAGTCAATAGACCTTGACTGAGGGGGTGGGGCCAAATAATCTTCATGGTAATGAGATGTGCCAATGTTAATACAACTGCATACCAAATATCATTGACCTACCACTAGTGGTTCACCATGAACTAGACCAAATCACAAACTAATACATTGTTGACGCCGCCGCCCTGCCGCCACCGGAAACAGCATACCTATGTCTCGCTTTTTGACTCCGTCAAGGCGAGACAAAAACCTGACAATAATTTCCGAATTTACAGTATGTAAAAATTTCCAAGTCAATGAACCATAATGAGGGGGTGGGACCATATAACCTTCATGGAAATGAGACTTGCAAATGCCAATTCAACTGCATACCAAATATCATTGACTTAATATTAGTCGTTCATCTTAAACTGATCTAATCACAAACATTAACATGTATATTCCCCATTTCCATTCTCAATTTTACATAATGCAATGAGATGTGCCAATGCTTATTCAACTGCACACTAAAAATCAGTGACCTAACACTAACAGTTCTCCTTAAACTTACATAATCACAAACTAATACATGTAAACTAAGCAAAAGTTTCTAAGTCAATAGACCATGACTAGGGGGAGGGGCAACATAATTCGCCATGGAAATGAGATGTGCCAATGCTAATACAACTGCATACCAAATATGACTGACCTACCACTAGTGGTTCACCATAAACTTGACCTAATTAAGAACTAATACATTATTGACTCACCACTGACGCCAAAACACTGCCAAAGTCTCACTTTTTTACGTGAGACAAAAAATCATAAAATTTACAATCAATATCATCTTCAACAACAATGTCAAGTAATAAATGACATTTTCATTTCATTGATATTTGTACATGGGTTGAAAAATCCTAAAATATGTCATTCACACCATCTAATTTTTGAATTTCACTTGAGTTCATCAACTTTCCAAAACTGACTCAGTGACTTAAACAAATACAGGGGAAAGCAGCCCTACCCTTTTAACCTTTATCAATATATTATTATTTCTATTTTTAAACAATTAAATTATTTTCAAAATACACACCTCTAAGATAAATTAACCCTCAAGAATAACCATTCTTAAACATACTTGAGAATATTCTACAACATTCAAGGAGATATCTGTGTTGGACTCTTAATGTCATAAAGGAGAAGGTATGACAAGGCCACCTTTTTTTTACCCTTGAAATTGAAAATCAAAAACTATTATTATCTACGAAATAACATGCTTCAGATGTTCATAAAACATTAGGCTGTCTGACATTTGTATTAATATTTTTCAAATTTGTTTTGCGTATTGGAATAAGGGCATTCAAACTTCTTACATTTAGTGCAAAACAACAATACCTGACAAAAAAGCCTTATCTGGAGATCCTTTCATTGATAATAAGATAGAACCCAAAAGATATTTTGCTCCAAAACGTATTTCATGATTTTAATGTGTGAAAAATACCTTTTTGGGTAAAGATCTTGCTTATATATATTTCTACCAAAAACTATGCCTGAAATGGTCATTTTAGGTAAATTTGTTAAAAACATAATGATAACATAAAAAATTACCATTCTGCATTAAAGTTTTCTGTTTAAAGCAACAGTTTCTTTTATCAATAAAATTAAAACAACTTTGAAAGACTTGAATAAGTTTACTTTTTTTTCAGGGGCCAAATAATTGCTCTTATCATTCCTCCTCCTTTATTTTATGACAAGCATTCACAAACCAAATTCTATGGTGACCTCTACATGTCTAGTTTTGTCTATTTGTGTTGTTGAGATGCTGCCTCATTTAAATTTACAGAATTCTCTTTTCAAACATCATTAAACATTAACACATGAAAGTTTCTCCATTTCTTATGCAAAAATAAATTTGTACTACTGAATAAAGTTTCACATGAGTACAACAGTCGTCTGCTGCTATTCATGGTATCAAAGAATTTTAACTACCTTTAACTTTATATGTTTTTGAATCAAAATTGATAGTTCAAAATGAATTGCTTGGTGATGAAACCTTTTTAACTTTTAAGCATCATTTTTGTTTAGTTTTTACAAAACAAATGGCAATTTTTCTTCTTTTTCACAAGTTAACCTGAAGTTAACCTGAAGTTAACCTAAGACAAAGGATACAGATTCAGTTCCTAATTCTCAACATTATGTAAACTAAATGTCAGTTAAAAGTCCATTTCAAGATTATTAAAATTGCAGTTCAATCACATTTGAATTCACTCATGATAAAGGTTTATTTTAACAGTTGAATACAACTTGTAAGATCAAGGAACTCAAGTAGACATAACATTGACTTATGGCAACTCTATCAATATTGCCTCTGATGTTAAACTTAACATAATGTCATTATAGTACATCAATGCCATAAATTTAAATTTTGTAATACAATGCGTATTACCAAAAAACAATTTAGTAACTTATTTCAGTGTTATATAATTATATATTGTATAAACTTTTTAACAAATATAATAACAAAAACTAACATGTATAATAAAATTAACAGCTTCTAAAACAGAAACATTATTTTAAATCAAACAACTTGTGACCATTTAATCAGACAATTAGCAATAATACAGATACTGTATCTACTTATATTGATAAACAGTTTATTTGTTAGATTATAATGTTGATCGACTGTGTGGATGGGTGGATTACATTGTTCAGCAAAGGACAAATTTCCTTTAGGTTTGTATGCAGAATTTGTCAAACCATAAAACCAAGTGTCCAGAAGATATAATTTTTCCTCAATCCACAAAAAATTGGAATCCCCTGATAATGAATCCACAGTAAAATAAAACAGTGCACAACTGCAATCAAATTGTATTAATGGAAGGAACATCTGTGATACACAGTAAACGATTGGATAAAGCTCTGTTTCAGAGTTTAACCATATATTTTTGTAATTTAACTTTTTATGTGAAATATAAAGAAATAATGCAAAACTTCACAAATATAGTTTATATTCAAAAGGTGCCATTTCAATTAAAATATAACCAAAACTGAACACAGCTTTACAAAGCACACAAAACATTCAGAGGCATGAGGGCTATTCCATCAAAATGGGTATAGGACTTTAATATTCTCCCACAATCTATATGCTTCCTATAAGTAACTTTGCATACATCTAACAGACTTACAATCACAAATGTCTCACAAAAAATGTCTCACAACAAATGTCCCAAAATAAAACCGTACTTCCTACCCTCCCACATCCATTTTAGTGGAATAACCATAAACTGAAACGTTTTCCATTACCATCATAGCCCCAAATAATTTTTAATGTTCACATTTGTTTTCGTCTTTTATTTTCATTCATCAGACATTCACAAATAAATAACTACAGGATTTGCACAATCATATCACAAAATAACAACATAAAACAAATAAAATGCTCCGCTGGGGCGCAGCTTGATACGACCGCAGAGGTCGAACCCTGAACAGTTGGGGCAAGTATGGACACAACATTCAAGCTTGATACAGCACTGAATTTGGATTGTAATTAAATATTTGACACAGCATAGGTTTCTGACACAGAATGAAAGTGGTCTAAGAACTTAAAAATTTTCAATTTACCTATTCATACATGTGATGGACTATGAAACTCAGATCAGGAGATTGGGAAATTTTGGTCAGGAGATTAGGACTCAGATCAGGAGGTTTTTAATCGACATTAATTTTGTTGTAAATGTAACCGTGTGCTGTAAAAATGGTCTTTTAAAGTGTGTTTTCTTCAACTTTCCATCCAATTTATTATGTTTATAGTACCCTTGTACTTATAAAGTTTCTCCATCTTTATATTCTACATGTTCAATCTAACATTGTTTTTTTCCAGTATGTTCTTTAAATTTTTTACTTCATATTCTATTAAACAATCATTGCAACCAGAACATTTGTTTAGCTATCTGCAAAAAGTTTTTATTTATTTTTTTTTCTCTTGCAAATAGTTTTTATTTGCAAACTCAGAAAATCATTCTATCTGTAAAATTAGGGTCATAGTTATTATATAAATTTCAATTTAAGCCTTGAAAGGAAGTATAGAATCCTCAAATAATTTTCAAATTATTATTTTTTTATTTGTCCTAAGACATTTAAAATCATTTAATAACCATCCTTTTATGATTATTTGTTCAATTTATATTTTATTTATATTCTTTTATAAATTTTCATTATTAAAAGGAAAGTAACTTAAAACAGGATAAATCAAGGGAAGTAACCCAATAAATACACAGTTTTTGTTACACAACGGCAGTTAGCCTGAGGTAAAAATCGTTGATTACCAGTATGTTTGACACCCAAGCTGACAAGTGAAGCCATATAATTATGCATGTTAATTGATTCACAGGTAAAATATAACTTCAGGTAATGTCAGTTACACCAGATGCCTGAGATGATATGTTGGGCAGAAATTTTTCATTCATGAAAAATTTCATACACGGGATTTTTTCCTCTTCAACGGGAGGTCGGGAGGAGACCCCTGAAAACGGGATTATTGTACTCCCGTCGGGAGGTTCACATGTATGCCTATTCAAACCATATCATTATTATTTGCTTTTATATATAAATCAGAAATAACCAATTTAAAATGGAAAATGTTAAAGAAAAAAAAGGAAAAAAAAAATCCCCCCCCAATTTTTTGAACCCCCTTATGATTCATCACCCCCAAACTCAATCCCAGCTTTCCCTTTGTGGTATGGTACCTTGCAGTACAATTTCAGAGAGATTCATACACTTGAACACAAGTTATTGTCTGGAAACTAGAAAAATGCTTGTTTTTTGGCCCCAAATTCCTAAACGTTTAGGGCAATTACCCCCAAACTCAATTCCAGCTTTCCCTTTGTGATATGGAACCTTGCAGTACAATTTCATAAAGATCCATACACTTACACACAAGTTATTGTCCTGAAACCAGAAAAATGCATGTTTTTTTTGCCCTTTTATGGCCCCTAATTACTAAATTTTGAGGGAAAACCCCCAAAATCAATCCCAGCCTTCCCTTTGTGATATGGAACCTTGTAGTACAATTTCATAAAGATCCATACACTTACAAACAAGTTATTGTCATGAAACTAGAAAAATGCTTGTTTTTTGCCCTTTTTGGCCCCTAATTCCTAAAATTTGGAGGAAATTACCCCAAAAATCAATCCCAGTATTCTCTTTGTGATATGGAACCTTGTAGTACAATTTCATAAAGATCCATACACTTACAAACAAGTTATTGTCATGAAACTAGAAAAATGCTTGTTTTTTGCCCCTTTTTGGCCCCTAATTCCTAAAATTTGGAGGCAATTACCCCCAAAATCAATCCCAGCATTCCCTTTGTGATATGGAACCTTGTGGTACAATGTCAGAGAGATCCATACACTTACACACAAGTTATGTCTGGAAGTTACAAAAATGCTTATTTTTGGCCCCTTTTGGCCCCTAATTCCTTAACTGTTAGTACCATAACCCCCAAAATCAATCCCCACCTTCCTTTTGTGGTATTGAACCTTATGGTAAAATTTCATTGAGATCCATTCACTTAAACTAAAGTTAGAGTGCGAAAACTAATGTGTATTCGGACGACGACGCCGGACGACGACGACGACGACGACGACGACGACGACGCCAACGTCATACCAATATACGACCACAAAAATTTTTTTGCGGTCGTATAAAAATTAAAAAAAAACATAATGAAAAACCAAATGCGCAAGTCAGCTGATCCCATGGAAAACAGTTGCCAAATTAATAAAATTTATTTTATCATTGGACAAAGACTTAAAAATGATTAGTGTTGAAGATGGTTTCAATTCCTCTTCTTCAAGAGAAAACTATCTAAAATTTCATCTGAAGAATTTTATAATTCTTGCAATATTTGCATAAACCATGCTTACTAAGCACTACAACACTTTTTTTTAACAATTATGACAAGACAACCTTAATTTCCTGCTTTTCCTTAAGCTAATTTTTAACCAGCCTCTTTTTTTTGCCGTTGTACCTTACATTGATTGCCTAGACAGTATTTCCAATCCATGATGTATATTGTAAAATGATTCAAAACCTTTATTTGGTCCCTTTATATATGATACATGTTAAAATATGTTCTCCTCTACTTCTAAGAGTTCAAAAAAGGGAGAGCAATACAAAATATTTTCTTACTTATCTACCTTTTTTTAAATATAGAAAACTTAACCACATACTATTTGTTGGTCTACATAAATCACAATAAAACCTGACAAACACACCACATCTGGCACATTTATGGTTTAGAAACTGAAGCTTGAACATTCACTATATCTAAAACCAGAAATTCTAGAAACTTGGGAAATATCTGAAAATTTGTAATTAGTTAAGAAGTTTAGAACATATTGATTTACAATTCAAAATTGCCAAATAACTTTCAGCACTTATCTAGGGACAAACACAAACTTGTAAATGATGATTTAATAATTCTAGCAATTAGACAAAATTTTTTCATTCAGATTACAGAATTTCATGAGTAAATCAAGAGAATTGTATTATAAAAGTATGTAGAACAAAATTCTGGCGATTATAAAGCTAAGGAAATTATTGAACCAATGCATGAACCAATGCATGCATATACACATAGCTAAGTCCTATGTTCATGGTTTTTACATTATTCTGAATCCATAAGGTATAATCGACAAAAAAAATTCATTCCTAAAGTTACAAACAAAAAGCTAAATTCAAGGTTTCAGATACTCAAAGATGTAAACAGTTTCTATTCTTTTAATGTAATATTGATCGATAAGATTTCAAATGAAGAGCTTATCTTTTTCAGAAACATCTTCATTTTTAATTTTTTGCATTTTCTGCACTAGAAACAAAATATCATTGATTACTGGATGGAAATTTTGTGTTCCAATATAAACATTCATTGATATGGATATGCACCTTGTATTTCAAATGAACAGGGAACTCTCAAAACTTTGATACCAATTACATCAACACATTTCATAATTTTGTGTAAATACAAATGATTATGCAGAAATAAAGTCAAATTGCACATTAAGTAGCATCATAATGACATGATAAGGCATTATAAGATGATTTTTTTATGCAAATTCTATCTCCAAAAGTAAACTGTAAATTCATTATATTATAAATAATTGCACAATTTTCATCAACAGTTAGGACAATAATTTTCACAAATTTTGTTGATCCCATACATGAATTTTCATAGTTTTGAAGATCTGTTGGACAAATTTTAAATTATTGTCTTAAATGATGAAATGATAAACAGACAATAAGGCTATTCTAAAGAACTATAGTTTGGTATCTTTCTAACAAAGGAGGTTACTTATTCTAACTAGTCATGAAATCCTGAAGCATGTTTATACTTTTTAAAAAATTTCTAAACCTTTATAAATTATTGCTATTTCAAAGAATTGAAAACAATTTGTAAGTTTTACATCTTGAGTTACTTCCCTTGTTTAAAAAGTATTACTACAGAATCAGCTTTAAAAAATGTCTGATTTGTAGTTTTAACCATCAAAGGAACTTGTTTTAACCTTTAGTTGTTGACAAGAGATGGAATATAATTATTCATTTTTCACAAATTCATCTCTAATTATGCACTTACATTATGTAACTTTAAGGATACAAAATAGGATGGCTATATGGTAAACAATATTCCTGCCATTTAGTTTTGATTGTTTTATTTGAATTGAATGTCTAGATTCAAGAAGATATATCTAATACATAACTGATGTCTTCAGCTTTTAATTTAAAAACTATGTTAATGATTATGAGATGGTATTTTAGTACTTTATCGGCACTGTAATACTCAGTCTTCATTGATTCTATGTAAAATGGTGTTTTAAATTCAGAATGCTTTAAAATCCTTATCAAATGACATTTTAGAGTTATCCCCCTTGACTGTTTCCTAGAATTATAATCATGTAACTTATCTCCCTTTAGAGTTATCCCCATTAACTGTTTCCTAGCATTATAATGATGTAACTTATCTCTCTTTAGAGCTATTCCCCTTAACTGTTTCCTAGAATTATAATCATGTAACGTATCTCCCTTTAGAGCTATCTCCCTTAACTATTTCTTAGAATTATAATCATGTAACTTATCTCCCTTTAGAGTTATCCCCATTAACTGTTTCCTAGAATTACAATCATGTAACTTATCTCCCTTTAGTGCTATCCCGATTAACTGTTCCTAGAATTATAATCATGTAACTTATCTCCCTTTAGAGTTATCCCCATTAACTGTTTCCTATAATTATAATCATGTAATTTATCTCCCTTTACAGTTATCCCCATTAACTGTTTCCTAGAATTATAATCATGTAACTTATCTCCCTTTAGAGTTATCCCCATTAACTGTTTCCTAGCATTATAATCATGTAACTTATCTCCCTTTAGAGCTATCCCCATTAACTGTTCCTAGAATTATAATCATGTAACTTATCTCCCTTTAGAGTTTTCCCTATTAATTGTTTCCTAGAATTATAATCATGTAACTTATCTCTCTTGAGAGCTTTCCCTATTAATTGTTTCCTAGAATTATAATCATGTAAATTATCTCCCTTTAGAGCTTTCCCTATTTATTGTTTCTTAGAATTATAATCATGTAACTTATCTCCCTTTAGAGTTATACCCCTTAATTGTTTTCTAGAATTATAATCATGTAACTTATCTCTCTTGAGAGCTATCCCAATTAACTGTTTCCTAGAATTATAATCATGTAACTTATCTCCCTTTAGAGTTATACCCCTTAATTGTTTTGCATGACATAGAATCATTGGAATTTAAATCATGTAATTTATCTCCTTTTAGAGTTATTCTTCCTTATTTGTATTGCACTGCACAGTATCATTGGGAATTTAACTCATGGAACTTATATCCCTTTCAAGTTATTGCCCCTTAATTGTTTTTCATTACACAGTATCATCGGAATTTAAATCATGCAATTTATAAAAATCATTGAGAATTTTGATGACAACATCCATAGCTGTAATATACTGTTCTATATCAGACATCAATGACTGTTGATACAATGTTCCAGTATCTTCCTCTCCTGGTACAGACAAATTGGATATGAACACATCTCTGTAAGGCAAAGCCTTGGCAGCAACCTATAAGTAAAACAGATAAATATATTGCTACATCACTACTGAAAGTGCTGTATAACAAATATAATTCAAGCTACTTTTTTGTCGACATATGCACTGTATGGTCCAAAAACCATTGGAAATTGGTCTGTTTTCATTGAGTTTAGAGGAAAATCAAAACGAGTAGGGGCAATAAGGTCCTTATTTGGCCAAAATATTAGTGCAAATTGAAAAGTTACCATACATATTCTTAAATTTGTAACTACACTTACGCACAAGGTGTTCAGAAATTAAAAACAAATTTCAAATTTGACAACTAACCATGGCAACAAATCACAACAAAACTTGCATATTTCTTGATTTTCCTTGTTTAACTTTTAAGCATATATTAGTTTGGAAAAGTATGTGCAAAGCCAAGAAACAACTTTATATTTGATGAGATTATGTCAATAGTTATAATAAAGCTTCTCTTAAATTATTTTGTTGTTTCTTGGCTGCACATGATGTTTCCACATTGGAAATAACAATGGAAAACTGCATAAATTCTGCAGTTTTATTCGTTTTCATGAAAAAAGTCCATATTATGACATAACTGAGAATTCATAGCATCAAAAATCTTAAATAATTCATTTATATTTCTTGATTTTATGCGTTTCCAAACATTTTGTGCAATGTGAAATAGTTCTAAAAAACTTTATTTTCTTGGGCCAAAACCAGGCTTTGGTGATGCTGATGCTAAAATTTTCAACAAAGAGACACATTTCCTATCTAGTCATTTGTTTTAGCTAAGATCCATTACTGTGGATTCATTTTTATTTGTGGTATACCAATTTTCGTAGGTTTCGTGGGTCACAGCGAACTACGAATTTAAGAATTCAACGAAATAATCCAGAGAAATGAGTATGGAGTCGGATGTTTATTTCCGGTTATGTTATGCAGTTCTAGTAGAGTGTTGACTAACGATAAGCATTGTGACATAACACGTGTTTTTATTGAAAGATGATACAAGTATTTTGATTAAATCAATAATAAACATATCGAATATCAGTGATAATTTACTTTTTTAAAATTGATTAAAACTCTTCATGGAAAATAACATTTTGATTAAATCAATAATAAACATATCGAATATCAGTGATAATTTACTTTTTTATATTGATTAAAACTCTTCATGGAAAATAACTGCAAGTTGTTAATTACCGTGTCATAGTTTGGTTTACTGGTGATTAAAAATCAATAGGATTAAGTACGGGATATGGATATTGCCCGTAGGTAATATTGTTTATAACAGGAACATTTATTTTCACACCTTTTACTTATATGACTGTTTATTATATAGTGATTAGGGAAATGAGCTTTAAATCATAGAGTTTTGAATGCCTTATAAAATTCCGACAAGAATTTATAAATTGTAAAAAAAACAAATAATTAGTTGTCTCTGTCCATTATTGTAATAGAAGTTTTCAATGAACACTTTAACCTAGAATGACCAAGCGAGGATTTTGACAATTCAAAACTTTTTCAATGCATTCCTTATTTTTTGTTTGTTTTATTATTGATCACACCTAAGAGGTTATATGATCTCCTAAATAAATCAAAAAGAAATCCACGAATTACGTATCTTAATTTTTAAAATTTTTTTTTGTAATCAGCGATCCACGAATTTACGTATACCATGAAACGTCTTTTTTTCTCTATCCTCGAAAATTGATACCCACGAAAATAAATGAATCCGCAGTATAATAATGGTCAATAAATCCTTATTTGAAATTTCAGCTGAAATATTGAAACCTACTTCTGTGATGTAGTTGGGATTTATCTTTGTGGTTTCCAGTTTTGAGAAATAAATGTTCTGAAAAGGTTATTTTTCCTTAGATAATACATTTCTTAGATAATATCTTAAAATCAAAGGCAAGATCAAACCCCAAAAAAATTTCTTTATCAGCATTCAAATACTTTAGAGCACTTGAATAAATAAAAAATTTCATAAATCAAATGGTCAGTCTGCGTATGCTTAATTCTACTCCTGGGGATATATATACATACAGCAAAGACTCCACGTACAACCCAACCATGAAAATTCCTTAATGTTTTACTGTAGGCACTGGTCACAGCTTGTGATAAGTCAGGCTCTCCTCGTATAATCTCATACAGGAACTCTCGGATAAACTCCAAACCTCTGAAAGTTAAGTATTCTTGTTTAGAATATAAAATAGTTAAAGCAACATTGAGCATGCAACATCTAAAGCTTAGAAAAATAATATTGTAAAACAATGCATAAAAATAAAAGGAGATGTGGGGCATAAGTCAATGAGACAGCAACCCAATGACAAAAATAAAAAAATATTCACAGTTCCCAACAGCAGACAGGTGTCCACACAATGTGTCAAGCACAAAACAAACCTGAGGCAAAAAAGTGTATAGCAAGCATTCTGAGAGTATTGCATGGCAATTCATAGTCCACTACAGGTTAAAATATACAACCGCAAAATTTTTGGGGTCGTATAAAAATCATTGTACTGAAACAAAATGACAAAAAAAGTGCAGAAAACTGATTACTTGCATGTATTTCTAAGTCCAAGGACTATAAATCTGCAAAAAAATCATCTGAACAGAACAAAATTTTAAACTGATCTATAACTGGTCATGGTTAAAAAACTATAACAAATATCAAATTAATATCTTTGAAGCATAACCAAAAATAAGTGTTTTAAGTCTGAGGACTATGACTCTGCAAAAAAATCATCTGAACAGAACAAAATTCAAACTTTATCTGTAACTTGTCATGTTAAAACTATACACCAAATATCAAATCAATATCTTCAAGCATGATAAAAAAAAGTGTGGAAAACTGATTATTTGCATGAATTTTCTAAGTCCAATGACCCATAACTCTATACAAAATCATCAGACTGGAACAAAATTCGAACTTGATCTGTACCTGGTCATGATGAAACTATATACCAAATATCAAATCAATATCTTCAAGCACAAAGAAAAAATTGTGGAAAACTGATCTGCTGGACTGACGACAGACGGACAGATGGACAGAGTGCAAACCTAAAGTTCCCTTCGGCTTTGCCAGTAAGAGACTACAAAAATCCACCATCAACACTCAATTTTCCGAAAAACATTTTTTTATTTTATTTGATTTCTTAGTATACCACCAAGCCAACATACAAGGGACCATATATATATATATGTATATTAAATGACTGAAAAATAGCCAACGATAAATCTTACGGGGCGATGGATCATATAAATATGATACAGTACACTACAAAATATAATATATAACCAGTCTAAAAGGGTACAACATCACCAAAAAATGACAATAAACGAACAAATGTAACTATAAATATTTCGGATAACAGATATCCTTCATCAGTATGAGCACGATGTAAAATGAATCAGATCAATCTATTCTGATTATTAAACTATAGCAATCTTGAATTCTATACAATAAAAAAAGTGAAACAGTTTCACGCGAACATCATATGTAGAGACCAAGGGTCCGGAAACGGTCATATTTGCCAGTCATGTCCTAAGATGAAACTATTTGTCCTAAACGAGTAATTGGGATTTAGGACAAATTTTATTTTTTTACAGATGTAATTTCGGTCATTTCTTTGACTCAATGTTTGAAATCGGATTTCTTAATCGCCATTTTGCACTTGTGATCACTTGTTTTTGTTTATAATCCCTTTCCTGTAATAAAACTGCCACTACAGTAGTTTGATAATCCTGTGGGCCCTCCTAATATCTATATCAATGCCTCCGAGAAACATTGGCTAATGATCGGTAATCACTTTTTACCTGTGGTTTTAATTCACACCTGACAGTGATCACAAGCTCAGAATAATACCTTTAAAACATTAAAGTTCCCTGACAAGTGTATTCATTATTTATTTACTTTTCATCAAAGACAGTCATCAATTCTGATTTAAAAATTAAATCTAAATTTACGTAGAAAAAGTATTTTTTCATGAGTAACACATGTGCTTTATTTACTATGTAATACGCATGCGTGAAATTGTCTTCAGCAACTTTAATATTTAATCGTAAAATGCAAATTGATTTCATGCCAAATTAAACGAGTGCAACTATTATCTGTTATATTCAAACACTTTTAAAGGTAATAAAATAAAAAAGCCATAAAAAGCCGATGATTTCCTGTCAATTTGATAAACAAAACAAATCCCGGAAATGAATCCGGAATTATTCGTACTTTAAAATATCGCAAACTTCCGGTTTTAATTTTGTCAAATCGAAAGAAACGTAAGCAATGTCTGAGAAATTAACCATTTTGAGTCATTAAAATCATTTCAATTTTAGACTGTTGCCTTCCCTAAACTGTCCATCATGGTAATGGTAAGACATTTACTTAGTAAATGCGATAATGAAACAGCAATACAAGTTCGTCATGTTCGTTGATGCTATGAATATAGTCAAGTCGATGTTGACAATTTGAAAAGGGGCACCAACTTTTCAAACATCTCAAAATGACCGAAATTGTCTGGAAAAATTTCCGGATCCTTGGTAGAGACCCTAATAAACTTTTAAAATTTCCAAAAAACGACTCAAAAACATGCCTAAAATGAAAATAGTAATTAGAGATATGAACTGGCACAACTCTAAAATTCCAAAATGACGTCAGTTAAGATGTTACAACAACTGCGTGTAAATACATTCCCAAAAAAAAAAAAAAAAAAAAAAAAAACAGCACTGATCGATATAAGCTGGTCAAATATGTCAAACAGAGGCTTTTATCATCCCAAATAAATAGTAGTTTTATAATGAAAAGAAAAAATAATAGTAAATTTGGGATAGGGTTAAAAAAATGGACGTGGATGCGTACTTGTAAATCCCTACTAAATGAAAAGAACCCTGGTATTTAAACTAGTAAAATTCAAAAAATTCCAAAAGAATCCTTAAAACTGTAAGGGTCAAGTAAGGAAGCCGGAGTAACTGGAAACAAATGATGTCAGGAAAATGAGTGATGGTAGGGAAAATGAGTGACTCATTCTATGTTTTTTCATTTATCTGGGGAAACTGTCCTTAGCTTTCTTATCCAAAACCTTTCCCAAGCAAGTCTTTCGGCCCTTGACCAACCCTCGTTGTGGTCTATGATTGTGATTGTAAGGTTTTTGAGATTGGCTTGGGCGTGCACCTGTGATCTCAAATGACGACTTACGGGGAGGTTGGGCTTGCAGGTGTAGTCACTTCGATGACCATTCATGCGTTTGTTGAATGGCTGTTCTGTCTCGCCAATATACTGCATGCCACATCGACACTGAAGAAGGTATACAACATTCTGTGTTTTGCAAGTTTCATTACAAAATATAGTGTACACAGACCCAGTGGAGTGGCAAGTAAATGTTTGAGTATTCAGTATTTATTGGCAAGTCAGACATCGTCTGTTACCACTTGACTTGCACCATCCTGCAGTTGAACAGCTTTTATTAGAAGAGACGTCAGCTTTCACAAATAAGTCTTTCAGACTTGCTGGTCTCAGAAAAGCTAAGACAGGAGTATTGGGAAAGATCTTGGACAAATTTGGGTGCTTGGCAATAGTTTGCCAATTGGCATGGATCAAACGTGAAAGGTTAGTAAAGGCGGGATTGTATGTTAAAACAAACGGAACTATTTTGCTGCGCCTCTTCTGTTTGTACTGCAAAAGGTCATTGCGGCTGTTGTTATTAGCATGCGCAAATCCCTTATCTATGTCCAATTTCTTATAACCTCGTTTGGTCAAAAAACCGTGAAGTTCCTTTAACCGTTTAGTGACAGCCTCCTCAGAGGAGCAAATCCGCTTTACTCTGAGAGCTTGACTGTACGGGATACTTTTTGTACAGTGTTTGGGGTGACAGCTTTGGGGAGAAAGGTATTGATATTTATCTGTAGGTTTACAGTAGAGATCTGTTGATATGACACCGTCCTTAATAGATGTAGTAGTGTCTAAGAAAGATATTTTGGAGTTGGAAATTTCATATGTAAATTTAATTGACTGGTGTGCGTTGTTTGCATGTCTGATAAAATCATCCAATTTTTGTTGGGATTCAATCCATTTCATGTCAACATCATCGATGAAACGGAACCAAGACAGAGGTTTGGATAAAGATGTTGAAATAATTTGTTTCTCTAATTTTCCCATGAAAATATTGGCGTATGACGGTGCCATTTTCGTCCCCATCGCTGTCCCGTTTATCTGAAGGTAATGTTCACCATTAAAGGTGAAATTGTTGCATTTCAGAACCAGAGTGAGCAGCTGGACTAAACATTCGGTAGGTGGTTCTAAGGTGTTGCGAGAGTCCCATATTTCCTTACACGATTGTATTCCGTCATCATGAGGTATGTTGGTATACAATGAGGTGACGTCTAAAGTGACAAGGAGGGTTTCCGAGGAAAAGGGTTCATGGATTCCATTTTACGAAGATAATCTTTTGTGTCTTGAATGTGAGAAGGAAGATTTTCTACATGAGATCTTAAATGAAAGTCTACAAATTCCGAGATTTTCTCAGTCAGGTGGCCGTTTGCGGATACAATGGGTCTACCAGGGTTGTTAACCTTGTGTATTTTGGGAAGAAGATACAATCGACCAGGCTTTGCGTTCTCTGGTTTTAAATATCCGATTGTATCCTCATCTATGTGACCGTCATCGTGCATGGTTTGTAACGCAGTAATAATTTTGGAACTAAACTCAGAAGTAGGGTCATAGTCAAGCTTCTTATTAAATCTCTCATCAGAGAGCTGAAGCTCTGCTTCCGCGATGTAGTTAGCTTTGTCCATTATCACAACGGCACTTCCCTTGTCTGCTGGTTTTATCACAATATCATCTCGGTTTCTCAGCGATTGTATGGCTTTTTTCTCGTCAGAAGAGGTGTTATAAAATGACGAGTACTTGTTGCTAGCTAGATGAACAACAACCGATTTGATTTTGTCGATAACATCTTCCAGTGTAGCAGATTTACTAGGTTTTGGAATCCATGAACTCTTCTTTTTAAAATGCGGAATTCTGATTTCTTCCTCCGAGTCAGACGTGTCTGAGTCTTCCTCATTATCCTTGTTACCAAAATATTCTTTGATTCTGAGGGTTCTGGCAAAGTTATTAAGGTCATCTTCCAGTTTCATATTATCTATGTTACTGGGAGTGGGGCAAAAATACCTTCTTCAGTGTCGATGTGGCATGCAGTATATTGGCAAGACAGAACAGCCATTCAACAAACGCATGAATGGTCATCGAAGTGACTACACCTGCAAGCCCGACCTCCCCGTAAGTCGTCATTTGAGATCACCTGGGCATGCCCAAGCCGATCTCAAAAACCTTACAATCACAATCATAGACCACAACAAGGGTTGGTCAAGGGCCGAAAGACTTGCTTGGGAAAGGTTTTGGATAAGAAAGCTAAGGACAGTTTCCCCAGAGGGCATAAATGAAAAAACATAGAATGAGTCACTCATTTTCCCTACCATCACTCATTTTCCTGACATCATTTTATATATATATAAAACAAACAAACGACAAATGAAAAGCAACAAGAAAGCTGTTAATACAAAAAGGGAAAGAGTCATTCATTCAGTAAAACTAAGTATTGTGCAATACAATCTTCCATCAAATATAAAGTTTACCAGATAATCACAAAGACATGGGAAGCTGAAAAAAGAGACATCACTGAAATGTAATGCTCTGGCAATAAACATAATCTTGTATATTTGATTAAAAAGTATTTTGTATTATATAACGTTGCTGCTTAATGATACCAGCCAGCATGTAGAAAATCTAATCGAAAATACTTACAATTTGTATTGAAATTTCTATTTTATCCCTCATGGCTGTTTTAAACCTAAATTCAATTTCTATTTTATCCCTCAAGGCTGTTTAAAACCTAAATTCAATTTCTATTTTATCCCTCATGGCTGTTTTAAACTAAAATTCAATTTCTATTTTATCCCTCATGGCTGTTTTAAACTAAAATTCAATTTCTATTTTATCCCTCATGGCTGTTTTAAACTAAAATTCAATTTCTATTTTATCCCTCATGGCTGTTTTAAACTAAAATTCAATTATTTAAATTACAAAACCTTAACCTAATCAAATATTTTTTTAATCTCTATTATTATCTTACAAAGTGACAGATCCAGTGTTGCCAATTGGATGTATAGAGGTGGCCCCCTGTAAAATTTTGTCTAAAAAAGGAGGAGAGGCCAGAGCAGTCAAAAATAAGAAAATTGACTACAAAACACATCAGGTCTTGATCCAAGCAATCCCCATAGATCTGCCCCAGTATTAAAAACTGACCTTTTCATCCAAAGTAACGCCATTGTGGCTGAATTAGAGAGAAGATGTTGTTTCTTGTTGAGTTCTGATAGCACTATTTTCTGCAGTGTAGTAAATCCTGCTGTATTGGTCGAATATTTCTGATGAATTTTCTAGAGGAGAAAAAAAAAAAAATTTTAATATTTTTTTGATATGAATATTATGACAGACCATTTAGATTATAGAATTAACATGTTTACCTCTGGACTGAAGGTATATAATATAATTAATCTCCAGATTATGAGAAAGTAAAATAAGCAGTTTTTATATGGAATCTTGAAACAAATTTATGTCTTTTTCACATATATTGTAAGAGGATTTACCCTAATGTTGCCTTGGAAATCCATCTTCACTGGAGCAAAGGCTGTAGCATTAAACTTATCTACAAAATACAAATTTAAGTATAAGTGTCATGAAATATAATATATACATTTTCCACTAAAAGGTTAATACATGTTTATACACTTAACAGAGTCATTTACCCATTGCATTTTCATAATGAGGAGTTAAAAGGAGTGTAAATCATGTTATCTAAAAAGGTTGTGCAAACACATTGGAATATCACCATGACTACTAAGGATGTTTGGATTCATACACCTTACAATTCTATCAAAAGTTTGTAATATATCTATAAAAGCAAATGTGATTAATTGTGAGATATGCTAATATTGTTGAATTTTAGTCTCTACACTAAACAAATTTTTTTTGGGTAAAGATTGTATGAAATGCAATCAAAACCCTGTGGTACTGACTTGATATCGATATCTTCCAAGGTTTATCACTACCTTTGATAGTTCAAACAAAATAGTGCAGTGAAGTGATCATTCTTTAGATCATATCCTGTCAATGTTATGCAATTTTTTTAATGACATGTTATACTTAGATTTTCAAGATACAATATGATGTGTATTTGAATTACCATACTTGTCAAGAAAACTTTTTTTTATTAAAATTTACCACTATGTAGCATCACCACCGAATAAAAGTACCCCATAAGTGGTGGAAAAAACAAATGTGAAGTCAGGCAAAGTCAAATTCTTCTTATTTTCATTATATACCATGTTTTGCTGACAAGTAATGTTCTGTGATGCTGATTCATAATAATGTAGCTACTATTTAGGGCTGATAATGATCCTTAATTGGCTTTCTCTCTCTTCAAATCATCAGAATCAGATAAGGGAGGAACCATTTAAAGAAGTATGTGACCAGTTAAAACATGCTTATCTATCATTTGTCTATCAACTATTCACGTACAATGTATTTTGAAATAAACTAGTGTTTTCTAAGAAATTCATGTAAATAAAGATGAAAAAATTGTACAGCGAATAGTTTTTACTGTACAGGGAATAGAATAGATACTTTTTGCTAACATTGTTTCTTTGCTTCAGGGGTACCTATATCAGGTGGTGATGCTACACAGTGATAACATAAGCAATACATGGCATATGAATCTGTTATGAAAACAGGTTCAACTACAAATGTACAATCATGAACAAAGGAAAATAACTCCAACTCAAATTTATAATTCACCTAGCTGGATATAATTCAAAGTTTTATTCTAAAAAAAAAAAATGCTAATTGAAAGCAATCTTTAACCTTCAGTGCTCACAAGCACTTTGATTATCATAATTAAAACTTTATACAGGAGATTGTCTCGACAGAAAGAATTATTGCTTACAAAGATCTGTCAAAACAAACTTAAGGTCAGGTTACAGTAAATGGGCTATGTCACAGATTTTGTTAAACTTTTGCATGCAACTTTTGCGTATTGAACTTTAGTTTAACTGAAAATCGAAAAAATAATCCATTTATCTCTTTATTTTCTAAAATATTACTGATTAAATTCTTTCATAATAGGTTATCATTTGTATAGAAAGCACATAAAATCACAGAAAAATGTTCTTAAATTTGTCTTAATACCATCAAATTTCCAATTTTTAATCATAGATTTTTCTTTAAAAAAAAATATGTTGTTGGCACATAAATTTCTGTTTTAATGATACAAAATGATAATAGGACCACAAACTTCCTTTTAAAAGTATACATCATTCAAAATGGTGTTCTAGGTGAAGGAATACAACAAATAGTCGAAATAATGGTAACGTCTTTGTAGGCCGTAAAAGGTCGATTTTTGATGTTTTTCACTGCCAACCAAGTAACAGATTAGTTGATACACCAAAAAGGAAGTCAGTGACCATTTGATTATTTAATATCATTAAAATATATGGATTTTATTGTCATAAACAATTTATTATATAACAGATAATTTGCTGTTGGAGTTTCCTTAAGCCTGTGCAATGCTTCCATCAGTATCCAAGTGGAGGTCCATGAAACTCATTTCCATTGTTCAAATACCAAAGTTTTTATGAACTACAACAAATTTTCACAGACAGATACAGATGGTGACCAATATCAATATCATCATGGATGGCTGATATAGAACTATTGCCATTGATTGTATTACATATAAAACTTACTTGCATTTACTACTTACATATATAATAATTATAGATTATTACATGGCATTTTCCATATTGGCCCTGGTATCAGCCCTAGACTCCCATATCAAGCCAGAGGGCTTTAGCCCGAGGGCTTGATATGGGTCGTGGGCTGATACCACGGACCATATGGAAAATGACATGTAATAATCTATTTATCACATATTTTCAAGCAAGAGAAAAAAGATAGTATATACCAAATTATGTTTGATATTTTCAACAAAAATTCAAAAAAACATTTAACGAAAAAAATTTTAAAAATGTATCACAGTGAGTTAACAAGGTTCGTATCCCAGTGAGTAAACAAAGTTTTGTGAAAAGTTTAACAAATAATTAACAATAAATATATAAATTCCCAGAATTGAAAATATTAAACGACTTTAAAAAGTGTTACATTTCCAATTAATGCTGACGAAGAATACACCATATTGCTACTATGATTTGGAAATATGTTCCGCTTGAACTTTCGATGTCATACAACAATCGCTTTTTCATTGTGACGTCATATATTTTCTAAATTCTTTATGACGTCCAAATTTTACGGGAACTTTTGTGATTTCCACTGTTGATTTTTTACATTTTTTCTACTACAGCAGATTCGTAAATTTCTAAATTTCTTTTCATTGTGTTCTCATTTTTTATTTCTTGTATTACATAGATCGTCATTTGATCTGTGAGAAACCTCTCCTGATCGTCTAACTGCTTCGGATGACAACTTGTTTACAAATAGTTTTTGATTGACAGGTTACCGGAAGTTAAACTCGGGGGCTCGATATGGATTTCAAGGGCTGATATCGATATTGGCCCCGAGGGCTGATAACCAACCTTGACTTCCGGCTATTATTGGCCATGCAAAAACGTACATATCAGTACAAAATATGTGATAAATAAAGATATCACAGAGTAAATCACCTATAATCACCAGCATCATCTGTCATCACAAAAAGTTATATTACTGAATCACCTAGTTCTGTAGATCCATAACTTAATCTTAGTCTTACCATTGGAGATCTGACATTTGATTCATCAACATATAATACTGTAAATTCCGAATTTGTTTAGTGCACTTATTATTTTGATTGTTGAATAATAAAACAAAAATGTGATTAAAAGTTATACAATTTCAGGAAAGGCTGCATTCTAATAATGCTATCCAAATTTAAAATGCAAACTTTTATTTTTGTGAAACCAATCACAATAATTTCTTAATTTACAGTAATATATCCTTTATTCATTTTAAAGCATTCCTTTTTGTATTATTTAGTTTCAAACTCTCCACACAATATACTAAAAAAACTTACCAAACAAAGGTAAAATAGACTTTGCTGCCAGAAGGAATTCTTCTACTGGAATGCTTCCATCAGTATCCAAGTGGAGGTCCATGAAACTAAAAAAACAGTGGATACAATAGCCAGATAAACATGTACACCTTACAATCATTATATATAGCCAATATAGTTGACCATTTGTTTATAGTATCTGAGTGGATACAACAGCCAGATAAACATGTACACCTTACAATCATTATATATACCGGTAGCCAATATAGTTGACCATTTGTTTATAGTATCTGAGTGGATACAACAGCCAGATAAACATGTACACCTTACAATCATTATATATAGCCAATATAGTTGACCATTTGTTTATAGTATCTGAGAAATGAAACCTAGTCAGGAAAACTTCCCACTGATCACTGGACCAGGGCTTCTAAAACGGTCATATTGTCAGGACAAGTCTGACCATTTATATTTTGGACTTGTTGTGCCGAGCCTGAACCAGGGCTTCTAAAACGGTCATCATTGTCAGGACAAGTCTGACCAATTATATTCTGGACTTGTTGTGCCGAGCCTTAACCAGGGCTTCTAAAACGGTCATCATTGTCAGGACAAGTCTGACCAATTATATTCTGGACTTGTTGTGCCGAGCCTTAACCAGGGCTTCTAAAACGGTCATCATTGTCAGGACAAGTCTGACCAATTATATTCTGAACTTGTTGTGCCGAGCCTGAACCAGGGCTTCTAAAACAGTCATATTGTCAGGACAAGTCTGACCAATTATGTTCTTGGACTTGTTGTGCCGAGCCTGAACCAGCGCTTCTTAAACGGTCATATTGTCAGGACAAGTCTGACCAATTATGTTCTGGACTTGTTGTGCCGAGCCTGAACCAGATCTTCTAAAACGGTCATATTGTCAGGACAAGTCTGACCAATAATATTCTGGACTTGTTGTGCCGAGCCTGAACCAGGGCTTCTAAAACGGTCATATTGTCAGGACAAATCTGACAAATCATATTCTGGACTTGTTGTGCCGAGCCTGAACCGGACATATAACATGGGTTTGCCATTTTAACATTATTCAGAAGAAAAATTGAAGTTTATGCAATCTTTTTGATCTGACTCTTTGCTTTAAACAGTCATACATTTCCGGTCATAAAAGTGACATGATGAATAAGTACTTTAAAAATAAGCCCTACTTTAATACCCCTCATCATGCTCATTACAATAAAGGTTAATTAGTTGGCTGAACCAAGTTGTTTCATTTGATGCAGGGTGTGCGCATGTGCACAGGCGTGAGATATAATTATGCATCCAAATTCTTCAAAATACTAAATATTTCATTGATACCTTTATCTTACGTTTATTTTCAAGTATTTTCTTGAAGAAATATCGTGGAAAGACCTACTTAAACTCAATTTCTTTGTAAACGTACACAGATTTTATGTATCTGTCTCTGGTCCGTGTTTTACCATTGTGAAGTCAACATACGGTATTAGGAAAATGTGCTTTTTAAAAATGAAAGTAAAGGTTTTGACAGTGAGATTTTGTATTAATAAAGAGTCTAAGGCAAATATTAGTATGCTGATGTTGCACACTTCCTATGATGCACTGTCTATCTAACAGTTTACGTCAGAACATCAAATTTATATCAAAAGTCTTTAGTTAAATATTGTTCTAGATATGACGCCCAAATAATTACCATGATTGTCTTTTGTTACTAAGTCTAAAGGGATTAAAATTGGGATAAGAATAAAATGTCCAGCTTGTCTGCAGAGAACCATGAATAAAGGTCAAGCAACTCCTGTTTAAAGGACATTTATACCTTGCAATGAATCTAGGTACAGTTATAACTGAAAAAAATCATGATAAAAAACTATACAGGTTTTTTGTAAGGAGATGCTGAACTATGGAAACTTTGGCAATTGCACTGCGCAAATGCGAGGGAAAATTGTGATTAAAAGTGTGTAAACACTCGTGCACTGGAAGATAAAAGAAACAATTTAATACATCAAATCATTTAGCTGTTATGACAAAAATTATTTAACTGTTGTGACAAAGTTTAATTAAAAAATAGAAACGCATGGGAATATACTTAATAAAAAGACAAATAAACATCGCTATTGCATGTTGATCATCTCACTCATATATCATGTGCTTCACAAGTCTGTGTTGATTGTTTATTTAGGTCACATTCCACAAACTTCCGCAATAAAAAACGAAAGTTAATTAGCAGAGTAAGTTTTCACTGAATGAATTATTTTTTGTTTATTATATGTTATGGATTCGTATTACTTGTAAAAAATTGTGCCCAGAGGACTTAGTTTAGTATTTATATATGCAATTGTTCAATAATTTCCATAACATATTATAATTTCAAGAAACTCTGTTCATATGACATTTACTGAACAGAGTTGTTCTATTACACAATAAAATTTTGACTGCCATTTACATATTCAACTAAGCTATTACAAATATTTTTCATGCAAATTTTTTTCTTAAAATAGTTTTTTTCTTTTACCTTGTATCCATTGTGGAGAAAAAAGTAGGAATTTTAGCATCAATAGCATCCTTGAAATCCTCTTCACTGTTGACACTGGAACTTGACATTGATTCAACATTGTTTAAATTTGTGTCTTGTTTTAACCGGTCTATTGATGAAATTTTTTCTGGTATATTATCATGTTGTAAAGAATGGTCCTTTTGATCTACGCTAACAGAATTATTATGAGATGAATTTAGTGATACATTAATTGAATTGGATTTATCTCCAGATATGTCTATTTCTGCTATGGAATGATTTGTAAGTGATGATTCTGATGTGGTCCTTTGTCTGGATGAGTTATGGTCCTTTGTTGAAGGGGAATCACTTCCTGCACGAGCTCTTGGTGATGTCCTTATAAGATAAATTTAGTGATATGTTGCTAAATAATTTATTATGGCTATGAAGCAATCTTTAATAATACTTTTTATAAAATATTCATGAATATGTGTCTGCAGTATACACACAAGTCAATTTAGATTTCAGTTAAAAAGCAAATTTGCAAATGATATGGAATATAATTTTATTCATTTGTGTAGACCATACTTAAGGAAACCTCTAAAGATTCTTCTGACAATTCGTGTATTTATCTGAACCCTGATTAGCTAATGAATGATTTTTCCATACATAATTCATGAAAAAAATGAAAGCTAGAAGATATGTATAAAGTGACCTATTTCATGAAAATGAATTCTATCAACTTTATATGTTTCACTACTTTTAAAAAAAATTTCAGAAAAAAATCAGTTTGTTTTATATATTCTTATGTCTATTTACTTCAAATAATATAAACTTGAAATGGTTCTGTAACCTGTCTATTTTCTCTTAAATACAATTTCATTTCCCTATACATAATATTTTACTTACGAATCATGAGAAACTGTTCTATGCAGTCCAGGCTTTATCTGAAAATGCAAAACATTTCTTTCTTAAATGCATATACAATTTTTCACTCATTTAAGTAAATTTAAAGGGGCATTAGCTGTGAAATTCATGTTCACCACTTTTGCTGGTTTTCCTCTTTCTGCTGTAACTAGCTCAATAAAATGTACCACTAAAACCTTTTCTGTTTCTGTTTCAATTTATCAATGAATGCATTACCTATATTACAGCAGCTTTTTAACACTGAATGCCTCAACAAAGAAACAAATTTATCTCTGACATTTTTCTCCAACGAGCAGGACAAAATTTCTAAATATTTCCACATTTTTGTATTGAGATTTAATATATAGCAAGTTTTGACACACACACGTTTATATATATACACATACAATAAATCATAAAGATTACTTGAATGAAGTACTGAAACAAGTTAAAAAAATTCTAGTGCAAAGGGAAATAACTCTGGAAAGAAATCACTGGGTGTGAAAATACCAACATGCAGATACATTGGATTCAAGTTATAGTAGTTCTTGAGAAAAATGCAACAAAAAATTAATAGGACAGACAGAAGTAAAACAGTATCCCCATGTTGCTTTGGTAAGGGGGAATACATTTTTTTTTTTAAATTTGCAAGGAAATTTGTTAACACTTACATAATCTCAGTTCTAAAGCTAAACTGATGAAAGACATGCCAGTCAAAAACAGGTGATGTACTTATTTAGATTTTTCATTACTATCTTCATTAATACACTCTTAATGGACAGACAGAGGTAAATCAGTATCCACAACCTCCTTTTGGAAAAATGGGGGGGGGGGGGGGAATAAAAAAAAAATAGAAATTCAAACTTCCAAGTCAAATCCTTCGATGAAATATTTCTATGGTCATTTAAATACTTGGCTCTCTAAATACATAATAGACCTATATTCAAAGTAAAAAACACTGAAGAACCTATCTTAAATAACTTACCTTTTTTTTTGGAATGTGTAAAGGTAGAGATGGTAATGATTTAGTGGAATGGATTGGAGAACTCAGTATTCCCGACTCCATCCCCACCCCAGCTTTTGCTAATGCCATGCATTCTTCCAATGTCTGTATAAATGTGTCACATGTTGGTCCCAAAAGTGAGCTGGCTTCTTCCAACTTCTAAAATACAGAAAATATAACAAATGAAACCTTATGAGAGTTCAGCTAAAGTAATACAAGTCCCCATTTTTCTCTATTCATTGTTTTGCCCATTATTCTCTACTATGTAAACCCTGTCAAGACTCTCTGATATCAATGTTTCAAGCTTATATGGATATTAGGGACGACATCAAAAGATCAATGTAGGATAAAAAACTTAAATCAAATAATTTGGGGGTGGGGGGGTTAAAATTGCTGCAAGTTTTGTTTATCCAAAATAGATTTTACATATATCCATATTGGTCAATCAATTTTATCCAAATTAAGTTAAGAGTGGGGGTCATTAGGTGAATTAAGTTTTTTATCCTACATTGAACTTTTGATGTCGTCCCTTATGTGAACACCAAAAAGATATTCTGTATTACATAAATATAATATAGCCTAGCACAAGTTGTACAAAAGCTTGAACATTTGTTGCTTTGTATTGATTAATTGATTGATTGATTGGTGTTTAATGCCACTTTCAGCACTATTGAGCTATTTTGTGGTGGTCAGTTTTTATTTGTGGATGTTGCTTTGTAATCTACTGATATAAATAGTTAATATTGATAACGAGTAAATTGTTTTTTTTTTTTATTTCTAACTGTTTTAACTGCCTTGTTGATTTTGCAGTAGAATGCTGGTCTCCAGTGCAGAAGGTTGTAGGTTTTGTTCCCAACCAGGTCAAACCAGAGACTTGAAAATTAGTTTTCACTGCTTCTCCACTAAGAAGGTAACATTTAGAAGTAGCTGAAGAGTAAAGACTGATAGGCTTAGAGTCAGAATAATGTATAGGGGTAGGGTGAAATATCTTCCCGCCAAATGTTACCTTGAAACTAGCACATTGAAAAACCAGCTAAACATGTTGGTCTGATACAAAGCAGGATTCATATTTATATCACATCAACATGTTCTCATCCTGATATGCATGTAATATTTGCCACTGGACATTACATATCAATCCTTCCATCAATTTTCATTTTTCTGTTTCTATGACCTACCTGAATGTCTTGTTTTTCTTGTATTGTACTCTTAACTGAATGAACTTGTTGCATTAACAAATCACAATATAATCGTAATTCTGATTTCTTTGTTCTTAATAAATCTGGTGAAACATCTCCTAAAATATAGAGAAAAAATATGCAGTAATATTTATAAAAATAAATTAACACAACTTTGTAAATCAAAACATACACATGGCATCGATTACGCTCCTTATCAAAAAAGTTTTTAAAAATGTTTCAATATGATGTTATTCCATTTGTTTGTTCATGTTTGTTGTAAGCCATTGGCACATATGGGCATAAAGTGTATTTCAATAAAGTAAAGTAAGCAAGTTCAAATCCATTTTATATTAAAACATGCGGAACAACACATTGAGGACTAATGATAAATATATTGTAACGGAAATTATCAATTAAATTTCCACAAAAATGTTCAAACTTCATAGTTTGTGTGAAAAAAAACAAGTTGAACTGTGACATTTTGCTATCCAAATTGATACCACTGCTATAAATTTTCAGTAAAAAGGAACTAAATGAACAATAGTTCCAAAATATAAATGTGACCAAAATTTCATGGAACAAAGTGAACCAACTTCCCGTTCCACCCAATTCTTGACATGGGTATAAAAAAACAAATATTGGAAAATCAAAATAATTCTGCCTTAACTCTCAATTTTTGTTACTAGTTTCCCATACTATCATTTAATTTTAGAATGATCTGAAATACAAAGTATATATCAGTGTTGTCAAATTGAACATTTTTACCTAATGTGGATTAATTTATTTTCATCGTCACCAATTTTTGTGGATTGAGGAAAAATTATACTTTTGTAAATGTTTGATTCCATGGTTTTGCAAGTCTGCATACAAGCCTATACAATATTTGTACTTTGCTGAATATTTAAATTCTTGGTTTGCCTTTACCCACAAAATCCACAAAAATAATAATGAATTAACAGGAATTGCTTATTCTGATAATTTTTGTACTGATTAAACTGTTCATTAGTATTAAATTGATGTTCAAAGACAAAATATCTGCAGCTATAGAAATGCATGTTATATGATACTGTTTTGATGTTTATTGTGACACCCTACCCAAGATCTACATTGTTTATGTCTACACGATAAGATCAGTATACTAGTACACCAAATTTGCATTTCATTTGATATATGGCCAAGCCAAGTAAGTGGATGATGACATTTTTACATTAACGTCCACACTATATATTAAGCTAAAGTGAAAAAATAAACTAATATGTGGTATGGGTTTTGCTCATTGTTGAAACCCTTTGCCCAATAGTTGCTATCTTCTATGTCCTTTGGTCTCTTGTGGAAGGTTGTCTCATTGGCAATCATACCACATCTTAATTTTATATAAATCCTTTACTTTGATCAGCTAACAACAGTTAAATGTTTGATCTGTTTTACACATTTATAGCATACCCTGTAAACTATGTTTACTTAAGATGTTGCCCCTAGCTGATAGACAAGATGATTGTGTGCCAATTAAATATGTAAAAATAAAATGTTTACATTGTTAACTAAGTACCGGTAATCATTACATGGACAATTGATTGCATTACAAAATAAAAAAGTGATAATTTTTAAAATTCATGAATGTGTTTTGTGTACTATTGTTTGTCTGTTTGTCTTTTTCTTTTTTAGCCATGGCATTGTCAGTTTATTTTTGACTAATGAGTTTGAATGTCCCTTTGGTATCTTTCGCCTCTCTTTTTCAATACACATTTATGGATGTTACACAAGCAACAATGAAGTAATTAATACATTTATATCTTTTTAATCTCATTTTAGACAATTCATCAATAAACTGGTTTACCATTGACAACACTAGTATATTTGTATGCTAATGGAAATGTCAGCCATTCAAGTTCATGGGTACTCAAACAATACACCTTATTGCTATTTGTCTGCCATTAATGGACATTACAGAAGTTTCCGTAAACTTTAGATGTCACAAGAGAAAATGTCTGACGCCACAAACGAAAAGCCATTGTTGTATATATGATGTCAACATTTCAATTGTCCCAAATTCCTGGGTCAAGTGTCGCAGATCCACAAACAGCGATAAGGTCTATAATACTTAATACTTTGGAAAATAAAAGACATATACAAATTATTTATAACTTTGTAATATATAATGAGTGTCACAACTCACAAAATGTTTCATTAAAATGATTCAGTTTTATTAAATTCATTGTCTACATTCTACTATTACGACTATAAACAGGGTTTTCAACGGTAATCATTGTGCTGCTCCAGTACAAAAATAACACAAAATAGTACACTAGCCAATATGAAAATTGTATCTCTTAAATATTACCTCTATTAACAACAGTATCATCAGGTTTTCTCGCATTTTTTTGAGAAGCTTTAGCAGATCCTAATGCCACAAGCCACTGTTGCCGCTCCTGTGATGTGGCAGCTCTAACATAGAAATGTTGTTCTCCAGGAATTATGAGATCTAGTCGACAATGATCTGTTTGGTGAACTTTAAAATAAAAATGTAAAAATATATAAAATTTATATAGGTATCACATCTAACACAAACTGCATTTGATTGTACTTTGAAGGGAAATGTCTACTTCAGTGATAATTCTCATTTAGTGAGTAACATTATGGGTGCCACTAGTGGAGCAGTATCTGATCACCCTTCCTGAGAATCTGAGATCACCCCCAGTATCTGATCACCCTTCCTGATAATCTTAGATCACCCCCAGTATCTGCTTACCCTTCCTGAGAATCTTAAGATCACCCCCAGTATCTGCTTACCCTTCCTGAGAATCTTAGATCACCCCCAGTATCTGATCACCCTTCCTGAGAATCTTAGATCACCCTCAGTATCTGATCACCCTTCCTGATAATCTTAGATCACCCCCAGTATCTGCTTACCCTTCCTGAGAATCTTAGATCACCTCCAGTATCTGCTTACCCTTCCTGAGAATCTTAGATCACCCCAGTATCTGCTTACCCTTCCTGTTATCTTAGATCACCCCCAGTATCTGATCACCCTTCCTGAGAATCTTAGATCACCCCCAGTATCTGCTTACCCTTCCTGAGAATCTTGATCACCCCCAGTATCTGATCACCCTTCCTGAGAATCTTAGATCACCCCCAGTATCTGCTTACCCTTCCTGAGAATCTGAGATCACCCCCAGTATCTGCTTACCCTTCCTGAGAATCTGAGATCACCCCCAGTATCTGCTTACCCTTCCTGAGAATCTGAGATCACCCCCAGTTGGTGGGGTTTGTGAACGTTGCTATTCTAAAATTAAAATTGATATTTTAATGCTTCTATGCTGAGAATATGATACATGCATTTAGAATTAAGAGCAACAATTGATGCTCTCAAGTGTGATGCCTAGCTAGATTTTGTATCTGACACTGTTTGTTAGCCTAGTTTAAAGTTGACTTTATATTCATAAATACATCACAAAAATTTTCGTGTCCAGAAAATGGTTGAAAGATTTTGAGCTAGACAGTAACATCCACCCATCTTCTGTTGTCATTATTTTATTCAAACATTGCAAATATACCTCTTATATCACAGGTGGCCATTCTTATAGATCCTTTACATCCATTCACCATTTCTTCTTGTGATTTGTAATAGGATAAAATGTCATTACTGAGAACAAACCATCGTGGCTGCCAACCTACAAAGATAAAATGTCGTTACTGAGAACAAACCATCAAGGGTGCCAACCTACAAATATAAAATGTCATTACTAAGAACAAACCATTGAGGCTGCCAAACTACAAAGATAAAATGTCATTACTAAGAACAAACCATCAAGGGTGCCAACCTACAAATATAAAATGTCATTACTGAGAACAAACCATTGAGGCTGCAAACCTACATATATAAAATGTCATTACTGAGAACAAACCATCAAGGGTGCCAACCTTCATATATAAAATGTCATTACTGAGAACAAACCATCAAGGGTGCCAACCTACATATATAAAATGTCATTACTGAGAACAAACCATCTAGGCTGTCAACCTACAAATATAAAATGTCATTACTGAGAGTGTAATAGTATATTAATTATCAGTGTTAAAGAGTTTAAACACCTTTGGTTTGTAATTCAGGTATTACATATGCTCATCAAGTTCAGGTAAGGAGGTAATAATCTGGCAAAAATTGTATACATTAGAGCGATCATATAGTTAATGTTTCCAAGGGGCATAACTCTTTTAAAAATAATTGATCGGCACTGATTTTTTAACTTGTCCAAGACATTGCTGATATAAACCTATGATATAAGTTTCATTAAAATCTGTCAAGAATTGAACACAAGAGAGCGCTAAAGATGCAATTTTCCATAAAAATAATGTTTCCAAGGGGCTTAACTATTTTAAAAATAATTGATCAGTACTGATTTTCGAACTCTTCCAAGACATTGCTAATATAAACCTATGATATAAGTTTCATAAAAATCTGGCAAGAATTGTACAAATGAGAGTGCTAACGATGCAATTTTCAATATAATTAATGTTTCAAAGCGGCATAACTCATTAAAAAATTATTGATCAGCACTTATTTTCGAACTCATCCAAGACATTGCTGAATTAAACCTATGATATAAGTTTCATAAAAATCTGGCAAGAATTGTACACATAAGAGCGCTAACAAGACCGGACAGATGCCTAACGCGTTGCACGGGGGACAAAAATGGAAGCCATTGTAGGGATGATGCTATGTCAATTTAGCCCTTGAAAACCGATAAATTCATCCACATAGCATCATTACCATCCTTATATGCCAGTTGTATTTTAAAAGACAAATTTATGTATCTTCTTGTTTTTAAGTAAATATAAGAAGATGAGGTATGAGTGCCAATGAGACAACTCTCCATCCAAGTCACAATTAGTAAAAGTATTAAGCACCGTTTAATGTACTTTAAGGCCTTTAGTTAAACTTAAAACTACTGTCTGATCGGTTGTCAGGAGGAATTTTTTAAAATAAATATTATGTGGAACGGCAGCCTAAAAATTTTCAGAGGTTGAAAACAAATTACCGTAGATAATACACACAAAAAATGGAATTTTTTTTTGAAGTAATGCATTTTTAAGATCCACTTGTAAAGTCTGTCATCAAGGGTTTTTAGTAAAAATTAGTTCAACACACCAACTCTGTTGTTATGACTCATTAGAAAGACATTTCACTTGACCCATATCTTTCATTTTTTAGTACTGTGAGTTTTTAAAGCTATTCTATCAACCTGTAGCCTAAATATATAAAAATATTAGAATCTGAAACGAGATGATATATCAAATATTTTTGCTTTATACATTTTCTAGACAAAACAGTCAACTCCAACACACCTGAACATGAAAAGGTGTACTTGACTTTCCTTTTTTGATGAAACTATTGCCCATTTTTAGGATTTTTTCCAAATAAACTATCACCGGGGGAAGAAATGCAAATTAATGTTTTAAAAAGATCAATCTCTTATCTTTCTGTGTATTTTTTATACGTGGAATTTATGCTTATGCACAAATTAAATTCTCCGTGGGGCATAGCTTGATACGACTGCAGAGGTCCAACCCTGAACAGTTGGACAAAGTGTGGACACTACATTCAAACTTGATAGTTCTGAATTTGGATTTTGATTGAATATTTGACACAGCATAGGTTTCTGACACAGAATTATTCTGACACCTATGAGAATAAATGTGTCAAAGAACTGAAAAATCTGAAATTGGACTTATACCTATTTTGGTCCAATATCCAAAATCTTTGACCTTTTGGACCTCATTGTGGACCAATTTGATAGCGGGGCCCAAAATCCAATATCTAAATACACCGTTAGATTCAGGATATCAAAGATCCCCATATATTCAATTTTGGTTGAAATCAAACAAAGTTTAATTTTGGACCCTGATTTAGACCAACTTCAATTTAAATCCCAACCACCATTTTATGGTATGGAACCTTGTAGTACAATTCCATAGAGATCCATAGACTTAAACCCCCTAATTCCTAAACGGTTTGGGTCATAACCCCCAAAATCAATCCCAACCTTCCTTTTGAGGTATGGAACTTTGTGGTACAATTTCATAGAGATCCATAAACTTATACACAAGTTATTGTCCTGAAACAAGAAAAATGCTTGTTTTGGCCCCTAATTCCTAAACGGTTTGGGTCATAACCCCAAAATCAATCCCAACCTTCTTTTTGAGGTATGCCGAAACCTTGTGGTACAATTTCATAGATATCCATAAACTTATACACAAGTTATTGTCCTGAAACAAGAAAAATGTTTGTTTTTGGCCCCTAATTCCTAAACAGTAAGGACAAAAATTCCCAAAATCAATCCCAACCTTCCTTTTGTGATATGCTACCTAGTGGTACAATTTCATAGAGATCCATACACTTGTACTTAAGTTATTGTCTGGAAACCAAATGTTTTGGGACAATGAGGACTATGCTGACAACGTCATAACATTATACGACTGCAAAAATTTTTCACTCGTATAAAAAGATCCACATGTATTTACACTTACCACAATCGACTGTTTTGTGATATTATTCTTTAATTCAAGCTCCATATCAAAATTATGTAAAACCATGTATATAAGATGCATAAAATCCTAAATTATGCACCTACATTATTCTTTTAAAGCCCATAGAAACAGATGTAAACAATTGAAATATACCTGCTTGGCCTTTTTTACCTTCTCTAATAAAGATTTCCATTTCTTTTGTTTAATTTCAACTTGATATCAGCCTGACAATCATTCCATACTTCAAATATACATGTAGTAAGCATTTTGACAAAGTTCCATAACAGTAAGATAATAATTTTTTTTTTCATTTTCAAAAAAGCAATATGCATGTACGGTACATATAAATAAGAAGATGTGGTATGAGTGCCAATGAGACAACTCTCCATCCAAGTCACAATGTATAATAAAATGCTCCACAGGGCGTAGCTTGATACGACCGCAGAGGTCAAACCCTGAACAGTTGGGGCAAGTATGGACACAACATTCAAGCTTGATACAGCTCTGAATTTGGATTGTGATTAAATATTTGACACAGCATAGGTTTCTGACACAGAATGAATGTGGTCTAAGAACTTAAAAATTATAAATTGGACATTCACCTATTATGGTCCAATATTCAAAATCCAAATACATGGTTAGATTCAGCATATCAAAGAACCCCAAGAATTCAATTTTTGATGAAATCAAACAAAGTTTAATTTTGGACCCTTTTGACCTCAATGTGGACAAAGTTGATAATGGGGCCCAAAAATCAAAAATCTAAATACATGGTTAGATTCAGCATATCAAAGAACCCCATATATTCAATTTTTGTTGAAATCAAACAAAGTTTAATTTTGGACCCCGATTTGGACCAACTTGAAAACTGGGCCCATAATCAAAAATCTAAATACATGTTTAGATTCAGCATATCAAAGAACCCTAAGAATTCAATTTTTGTTAAAATCAAACTAAGTTTAATTTTGGACCCTTTGGACCTTAATGTAGACCAATTTGAAAACGGAACCAAAAATTAAGAATCTAAATACACGGTTAGATTCGGCATATCAAAGAACCCCAATAATTCAATTTTTGATGAAATCAATCATTAAGTTTAATTTTGGACCCTTTGGACCTCAATGTGGACCAATTTAAAAACGGGGCCCAAAATCCAAAAACTTAATACACGGTTAGAATCAGCATATTAAAGAACCGCAAGAATTCAAGAATAAAACCCCATTGAAATTGGTCAAGAAATAAGCAATTTATACGAAGTATCTTCTTTTGCACAATACTGTGCAATTGAATATTTCTTGCTATTGCGCAATACTGTACAATTGACAATTTCTTGCTATTGCGCAATATTGTGCTATTGGATATTTCTTGCTATTGCATAATACTGTGCAATTGAAGATTTCTTGCTATTGCGCAATACTGTACAATTGAAGATTTCTTGCTATTGTGCAATACTGTGCAATTGAAAATTTCTTGCTATTGCACAATACTTATTATATAATAATTTACACATCCTGTTTGGTGTGTATCTCCTACCATATCATTATTATTTGCTTTTAAATATAAAACAGAAATAACCAACTTAAAATGGAAAATTTTAAAAGAAAAAAAAAAAGGAAAAAAAAAAAAAATCCCCCCCCCCCAAATTTTTTTAACCCCCTTATGATTCATCACCCCCAAACTCAATCCCAGCCTTCCCTTTGTGGTATGGTACCTTGCAGAACAATTTCAGAGAGATCCATACACTTGAACACAAGTTATTGTCTGGAAACTAGAAAAATGCTTATTTTTTGCCCCTTTTTGGCCCCTTATTCCTAAACGGTTTGGGCAATTACCCCCAAACTCAATTCCAGCTTTCCCTTTGTGATATGGAACCTTGTAGTACAATTTCAGAAAGATCCATACACTTACACACAAGTTATTATTACGAAACTAGAAAAATGCTTGTTTTTTGCCCCTTTTTTGGCCCCTAATTCCTAATATTTTGAGGCAATTACCCCCAAAATCAATACCAGCATTCCCTGTGTGATATTGAACCTTGTGGTACAATGTCAGAGAGATCCATACACTAACACACAAGTTATGTCTGGAAGTTACAAAAATGCTTATTTTAGGCCCCTTTTTGGCCCCTAATTCCTTAACTGTTGGTACCATAACCCCCAAAATCAATCCCAACCTTCCGTTTGTGGTATTGAACCTTATGGTAAAATTTCATAGAGATCCATTTCACTTAAACTAAAGTTAGAGTGCGAAAACCAATGTGTCTTCGGATGACGCCGGACGACGACGACGCCAACGTCATACCAATATACGACCGCAAAATTTTTTTGCGGTCGTATAAAAAGTTAACAATTATAGGTCAAAGTACGGCCTTCAACACGGAGCCTTGGCTCAAACCGAACAGCAAGATGTAAAGGGCCCCAAAATGAATAGTGTAAAACAATTCAAACAGGAAAACCAACAATCTAATCTATATAAAAAACAAGAAACGAGAAACACCTATGAAATACACCAGCAAACGACAACCACTGAACAACAGGCTGCTGACTTAGGACAGGTGAATAAAAATGCAGGCGCCAACCTTCACCCTAACCTGAGACAGTAGTGTAACATTACAACATAAAAAGACTCACTATAAAATATCAATTGAAATGGCTTAACTTGATCAAAAAGACATTTAAACAAAAACAAGTAAACATACACTGAACGAATAAGTTTGATCTATGACACAATATACATGTAAATACAATATTAAAACTTAGGTGCCTATATAACAAAAACGTTACAGGTAGTAATAAAAAAAATGTAGGAATAGTGTCAAAAAGACAACTCTAACCTGGGACAAAATGGTGTTAAATAAAATAACGTACACAGGTAAATTTAAATATAATAATTTTGTTGTCAGGTTGTTAGTACGGAAGTAAGCATTTTTAACAAAATAAATAAATTTGTTGTTCAATGTGCGAGTACAGAAGTGAAAATTTATTGTCATACTAAATACTTATCAAAGGTGGTACATATTAAATATAGTGAGACGAGATATAACACAAAATAAGTAAACATTGAATACAGAAATACAGTAAAAATTGTGTCAACAGGTCAAATTAACACGAAAGTACAATCTGAGAGTACTCACAGTTACTGAAAGCTAGTTCAAAGCCAAAAACAGTTAACAATAATTTTATCCCTCTTTAGAAGGGTAATCACTCTATGCAGGCATTATCACCATATAGTGGGTTTGTTCCCAACCTGATAAATTATGGCAGTGTCTGCGCGTACCCGCATGCGGGTACGAATAGTCAAATTGCCATTCATAGGCTACGCGTACCCACATCCGGTTTTATGATAAATGCCATCGGATCGGGAATGAAACGTGAAATATATACGGAATTTGTCGCAATTAGTGAAAAAATTGATTTAAACTACTCAGAACTTTTATAAATATTTATATATAGCATGTATAGGTAAGTGAACAGTTTTTCTCAGTTAATAAATATTCTTAAAATGGAAGAGAGTGGTATACATGTGGGGAAGACATTTCAAAGTTATCATGAATTGGAACAATTTGTTCAGAACTATCAGTCGATTAATTTTCAATACAATTGTATAAAAGAAACTTTTCCTGTATTCACGGTGGCAAAAAATTCCAAACATGTTCGACAGGGAAAAGACCTAATACAAGGTATTTGTTTTAAATTGTAGTTTTAAATCGAATTAACCTACACGATCAGGACTCTTTGGCCTTTGATTGTTGTTTGGACTGGCAACATTTGAAATGTGCAGGGTTGAAATATGTGCCAAAACAATCATATTGGACATGTAAAATTTGTTCTAAATCTTAATTAGTTACATGAATCTTTTATAATTGGTTTAATTTGACATTATTACTTGCTTCTTTAATTTTTATATAGACACCCAAGCTTTAATTTTAGTCGTTTAAGATATTTTAAAATTTCAGTTTCTGTTTTACATTTTACTAAAAGATTATTTTTAAATCTCATATGGGTATTTTTCAAAATCAGTAAAATTTTATTCTTTAAATTTGCATTTACATTTTATAATAGTACCAGTATTAATTTTTATCATGTTTTTCTTGTACAGTTTCATTTTCCATAGTGTGCATTTAATTTGCAATGTTTATTATGTATCATTATCCAAAATACAATTTGAAAATAATCTTCACTCATTCTACACGAAATCCCCCATAATATCGATAATTTCAGTATATATTTCAGGTTTCATTCCCGATCCGATGGCATTTTATTATAAAACCTGATGTGGGTACGCGTAGCCTATGAATGGCAACTGACTATTCGTACCCGCATGCGGGTACGCACAGACACTGCCATAAACTATAAACCTGACCCTGCAGGATTAGCATCCCTAAATCTCGCATTCTGGGACTTTTGTCGCAGGCAAAACAAAATCATATCTGGGCCCAGAACAAAACTTCAACTTTAATGTATCCATATTAAACAGGGACATAACCTGAATAAAATTTACATGCATCATTCTCTAAGTTAACTGTTAATTATGTGCCTTGTAACCATTTATTTTTACCCTGTATGATGAAAAGGGGATTCTACCTCTCGCCAAAGTGGAATCGCATGACTTGAATGGTTTACTATTTCAATGAACTGTTTATTTACCTGAGAAGTAATTTGTCCATTTCAAAAGAACACCCTCCATGCTGGACGGTTACTGTGCGTTGTTGTCCGGATCTTCCTTGTCGGTTTTTCCAACTGTCACGTCAGCATTATGTCGGATATGACAGGGAAAAACTACAATTCTACTTCATTTAAAATAACACTTTCTAACTGACAAGTTGTTTTTATCAAATATTAAAAATCAATTATACGCCGGTCATAAGGAATTGACCATGCAAAAAACACGCCACCTCAACAATAACAAATATTGGGCCTTCGCCTTAGATCAGACTTCCTGTTCTGTTCTGTTCGGTTCTGTTTTAGACTTGGTTCTGGCAAGATTGTTCTTCCCTAAAATATTCAGCAATAATATCAGTTTACCCAAAAAGTTATAAATGATGACGCACCACAACGAACTTAATGAAACGTTTTTTTTTTATTTTTAAAACAACAACCCAGAGAAAAAAATAAGTCTGAAATATACTTTTCAGCATTCTACATAATAGAACCCAATCAGTTAATAAGAACGTTCGAGGAGAAAAACGACAGTGTTTATTAACAAAATATTGTATAAAACAATTGTATAATACGTCTCTGGTCACAGCTGCATTACAAAATTACTGGAGAAATATGTTTACAACCATTCTCCGGGACTGTGACAGGTGTATACTCGTGTCCGATGGTCCAGCAAACGTACCGTGACTATGTTCACCTTTACGGAATAAAAAGCATAAAGTGTAGGAAATCACTCAATTAAGCAACACCCGTGAATCGTATGTTCTACCTAAATATAGAACTTGGACTAATCAACTTCACGATTTCATGAAAATATCTGTTGTCTTATCCATAGCAGATATGCTTTTTTTTTAATTAGAAACAAAACTACATTTTATTCTGGTAAGGGAAACCACTTTCAGTTCTTCCTGCTTTTCCAAAAGGGTCACAGTTTACTTTATACTTTATGAAGATTCAAATGATTACAAATGAAATAATATACCATGCTTGTTTTTGCTCATCTATTCAGAGGAAGGCGGGTTGGAGGTTGGGGAGGGGGGATTTTCCCTAATTTTTCTGAATTGAATTTCTTAACTGTTTTCTGACTCGGGGTCTCGATTTGGGGCCGGGAGGGGTCCTTCGATTCTGTATTCTTTAACTGTTTTAGCCATTTTTATCTATTCTTTATACATTTTGCCCAGTATTCTCTATTCTTTATATTTCAGCATCCAATTATTCTCTATTCTTTTTTTTTTTTGGCCTATTTTTCTCTATTCTGCCATTTATTCTGCACTTTTTGCCCATTATTCTCTATTCTGTTAACCCCATACAAACCCTCTTTTGTTGCATTTTGGGGTAAACAATGAGTGTTAATAAAACCTTAGTGTCATGCTAAATGTTAGCTTTTTAGTTTTAGTCATTTTAACCTTTGACCAATCATATATGGGACTGGTAATGGGAAACCCTTTTAAGTTGTAGTGTAGTGGTAGCGTGCTTGCCTTGAGCGCAAAAGGTCGTGAGTTCAATCCTTATCCGACTTGAAAATTTGTATTTGTTGCTTCTCAGCTAGGCACCCGGCATTTAAGAGCAAACTATGGCAAGCCGTTGTGAAATTTATTCCCTATTTAGTGATATTAAAAAATAATTTATCAATTACTATTAATATATATAATTAAAACAAATCATTTTTTAATATCAAAAAATATTTTTTTAATATTGATGAATCGAGTTTTTATATTAAAAATTCTTTTCATTTTCTAATATTAACAAATATTTTTTAATATTAATAAATGATTTTTTAATATTTATAAATAGGGAATAAATTCCACAACGGCTTGCCACAGCAAACACTATATATATGTATACATGGTCAGTTAGGAGTCAGAATAATGTGTCAGGGTTGGTTGAGATGTCTTTCTGTGGACTATTTCCTAGTGAAATAGCACGTTAAACATCTGGCTCAGAGTGTCGGTGTGGTACACAGCAGGATTCATATTAGTTTAACATTAACATGTTCTCGTTCTAATATGCATGTAATATTTGCCACAGGACGATTAATACCAATTCGTCATCAAAATATTAAGTAACATCCATTATTGATATTTCTATCATGGGATAAGCACATAACATTGCAGATCCATTTTTTGTGAGAAATTTATTCATCCGTTTAATTTCGACCAGTGGAAGAACGCTTAAAGATGAATTAAAAAAAACTACCAATAATAATCAAGCCAGAAAAAAAATGCTTTTCATTTAATAATACAAAAAAATGTATTGGTATTGCAGAATATTAAAATTCACAAAATATATTCAATTCCAAATCGTCAGCCACATTTTCATGTGTCTGTCCCAAGTCAGTAAACTAGTCAGTGGTTCGAGTTTTTACTTTTTTTGTCATCTTAGAAATTCGGTGCATATGGTAGATATCTGTATCGTACGCTCCCTGTTAAGTATTCACAACATTTTAGACTCTTTTTGACATATTGTATAGACAACCTGTATGTTGAAGACGAATAATTTGGGGTTTTTTTTGTGTGTCTTTGGGTTGCTTTCTACTAAGGGTAAGCCCGAAAAACTTATCTGTAACAAATGATAATGCCTTTTGGCACATTAATATCAGCCACTTATATATCTTTATTTATGAATTGCTTTCATAAAGCAACGTTTTAAACAGCGTAAGAAAAACACGATTGGTCGCCTTTTCATATTGTAATAGTGCATAAATACACAGTTAGAGAAAAGAAGATATACGCAAACTGATTCATATTTACAAAAAATGTTAAAGTGGTCATTATAGCAAATATTATCTTCGTCTTTGTAATTTTTAGTAATACAAGAATTAAGATAGAACTAGTTTGCTTTATTAACAACGTTACCATACAATAATGGTTGTGGAATAGCATAACTTTAATCTAAGTGGAACTAAATTCGCATTATTCTCTTGTTCGTAAACCACATCCAGACCCTAAATCGTCTAATGAAAAAACTCAGGCCAGGGATCTGAGATATCGATCTATACAGCAGTGTAAGAGGAAGAATCCAATGTTAACACTACTGGAGAAGCAGTTAAAGCGATTACACCCAGATAGAATATTACAGAATAAACGGCTCTTTTTAGAGTCACAAAATCATTTAAAAAAAGGTCTGAATATTGTCGACATAAAAACATACAATCACTAAAGGAGATTTTTTTTTTCATTTTCCTCTTCTTTTATTTTTGCTTATTTCTAGTTTTCTTCTGACTTATGTAGAGCGTACAAGGACGTCTGCGCTAATTTACAAAAATTGTGTGTGTGTTAACTCTTTTATTTTTCACTCAACACCCAGAAAGCACTTTGAGGCAAGTGCGTGTGTGCGTTTCTGGTAAATTCTGTTTTTCTTCACTCAGAAAATACCCCAAAAGCAAGTGTTAAAATAGACACATGTAGAATTAACGATTTATTTTATGACACAATGGCTTCAATATGCATGAAATGTTTGCTACTAGACGTTAAGTAAAAAACAATCAAATCCATCCACTAGATGTGATGCAATCAATCCGTTATATTTACCAAAACAGGCACTGCTATCAGGTTTATACAACATCTTTTCAGCCACCAGTGCACACGGAAAATGAAGTTCTGCATGGACAAAAAGAGATGCGAGACGGATTTATAAAAGTTTTTTTCCAAACTTGTTTCCGAATCCCATATTTGAATTTCATGTAACATTGTACTATTTCATTGTTATAATTTTTCATTTTTAAACTAAAAAGAGATGCGAGGTATACGTCAATGAAACATATAAAATTGACTTCCAGTTATATGTTCAACTGAAGTATACGTTTTTGTGTTAGTTATCTTTATTTTTTTTTTTTTTTATCACAAACCGTATGAGTGCATAATGGCATTAGAATTTTGAATTGAAAGTATTAGGGAACAGACACATTCGATTTTTCTTAATTCATACTGTAAACGTGACAGGTACACCATTTAATGGGTTTTACGTTCTCCAACTCTTATATATAGGGCTTTTTACGTTGTATACGAGTACTGTACGGAATCATTTTTTTTTTCTACTTAATTGATAGTAGTTTAAGAATTTCATGTGACGTAGTATCCTGGCCGTAAAAAAACAAATGTGAGTTATGAAGTTGTAATTAGAAGATGTATTGTCGGGATTATATGTTAAATACATTTAACATCGAAATCCTACACTTTTGAGTCGCAAATATGAGTTACGAAGTTGCAAATGTGAGTTAAGAAGTTGTAAGTAGAAATTTATGTTCGGTTTTAGATGTTTAGATGAATTTTATATTGAATTATATATTTTTAAGTCGTAAATATGAGTTAAGAAATCGCTAATTTGAGTTGTGAAGCTGTAGATAGAAGTTGTATTGTCGGTATTACACGTGAAAATGAATTTATCATCGTCTCATTTTTAAGTCGTTAATATTAGTTATGAAATCGTAATGTGGGTTGAAAAGACGTAAATACGAATTATATTATGGACTCAATATATATCAATTCGTTAACGATTGTAAATGTTAGTTACAAAACCGTAAATATGAGTGAGAACACTGTAAAAAAAGTTGAAATTTCATAAATGAATTATAAAATCTTTATTAACTTTCAAAAGGTTGCTATACCTGTAAAAAAAATTAAGAGAATAGTGAAAGCCCTACATTTTAAAAAAATGATCGGCGCTCAAGTAATTCTGCAAACTGCAGGATGACGAATTGTAGGATTTTTTCGGGGAGAATTGCAGGATTAGAAATATTTGATAGCTTGACACTAGTGTCTGAATTTATTTTAATCATTGATAAGATAAATAACTATAATAGATTTGAGAATGGAAACGTGGAATGTGTCAAAGAGACAACAATCCGACCAAAGACCAGAAAACAGCCCAAGGCCACAAATGGGTCTTCAACTTAGCGAGAAAATCGCGCAGCCGGAGGCGGGCTTCATATGACCACTTGACATAAATGTATCCTACGTCAGCGAAATGGACGCCACGCTAAACTCCGAAACATATAAATGAACCAAAATTTAAAAAAACCCACAAGACTTGGAACAGGCGCAAACATGCGGCGGGGTTTAACATGTTTGTGAGATCTCAACCCTCCCCTTTACCTCTAGTCAATGTGAAATAAACCCATCATTCACTGGTTAACTGGCAATGTATATTCACGCATGGTACGACAAAACTGTTAAAACTGTGCCATTGTTTTCATGTATATTTAAATTTTGCAACCTGCAAATTTAAATCATCTTTACTTATGAATAACTGGTCTTCCAGTATGTAATAGATTGAAATAGGAAGAACTGTTTTGTCAGAAAATC